CTTGGCCGCAAAAGTTGTACCCACTCTCGATGAACGTCACGTACGCCGCCTCCTTGTTCTTGCGGTTGTTGAGTTGGTCCATCGCGTTGAGCAGGTTCAACCGGCCCGACGGTGACGGTCCGTCGTCCACGGTCATGTACACGACTTCCTTAGCCGACTTGGCCTTGCGGATGCCACATGTCGATGCCGTCGGGATCGGAAACTTGGCTGGCTGGCCCACAAACTTGGGGAAACTGAATTTGACCTTGGAAGGTGGTGCCATCGTGTCATTCAACAACAGGGTGTCCACGGCAACCGTTGTGACGGGAACGTCTGGGACAGACGGCCATTGACGATCCGAGTCGCTGCTGCTTTCACTATCGGGCAGTCCATTTTCCTTATGGGAAGATGGCCCGAAGACAAATAATGCCGCGACGCTCCATACGACAAGGAAGCCAAACATACTGTAGGTGGGGTTATGTCGTGAAAATGATTATGAAAATGGTTACCGGTAGGATGGACGGACCCCTCGTGGCGAATTTGCTTTGAGCTTTCGGGTACATTGTCATCCAGCATCCATCCATTGGTAACGAACGTGACATGTACTTGGTTTACGCGCAAAGTTAACAATCTCATGAAGAAATTGATTTTAATGTAACTTACTGTTAACGTTAATACTTCAAATACCGTGTAGCGTATAGAGCCATATAGATTTGGACTCCTCTGTAAAATTATATATTCCTCTGAAAAACAAAATAATTGGAGCGTGGGTCGACATGACGGTACTCACTCCTCGTTTGACTTATGTACTTGGTCATGTCGTATCGAGTAGAAGGAACTAAACCCGTCATGTCCGACGTGGCGAGACACGAGCCTTCCGCAGCGCCCCAAGTCCCGTCGAATGGCCAAGGCGTGGATCACCCAGCGCATGCTCCACAGCACCGACGCCATGTTCCAGCAGCATGGATTTCCAGCATGGGATGCTCCCCAGGAAGTCATGGATGTGTGCCACACATCCACAGTCCGGCCGCTTCCTGAAAAGAATAAATTATTCGCTTGAGATTTGAAAATGAATAGATAATCCATCAAGCACGAAATTTTAAATAAGTAATTGAAAATTGACCGATAATTTTCATGTATTCCGCCAATCAAACATTTTCAAATTGAGTGGTTTGGACATCAATGCTTTACGTCCATCAGCATCATTTTCACGTATGCTTCCAATC